GACGCCGCCACGAAGTGCCTAGACTTGGTCTGAGGACGACAAATTGTATAAGATGGTTGTAAAAAAATCGCTTGTCACTTCTGATGAGGAGGAAAGCGCCGGTAAGACGTGACTATGACTCAAAAGTTTTGCCACAGGAAGGGTCAAAAAGCTTTATACGTTTTTTGATGACCTTTCTCTGGACCATGTCAATGTGTTTTCAACAGGAGTCACGAAATTTGGCCCTCATACGGGATGTTATCTCCAGACGCTTGAACGTTGGACAGGCCACCTTTATTAGCCTCATGTGCTTTTGATGATTCCACTCGATTTAAAATCACATGTTAACAAAGGTGCTACTTAAATGTTATCAGCGGCAAGAGGAAGGCGTCTGGGATGGGAAGCATCATTACTCGCCAAAAGCACCATCACTGCAAATTGACTAATTAACATACAAAAAGGAGTGGAACTACAGCCTTTCACATCCTTTTTACTGCCCATATAAGGAAGAGACGGTGGGGTTGCAACACTCTATTATTCCTCAAGCCATTGACAGGCTGGTTGATGGCAGGAGAGGCGATCGCAAGGGGAGGTCAGTGAATGGGAGATAGAAAAATGGACGAAATTGCCCTCTTTTAAAATCCACTTGTTATTCACAAAGTTAGTCAGCACTTCTCAAGAGTGCTGAATTATCAGGCAGGAAGGAGAGGTGTCCACAATTTGGAGTTAAAAGAAAACCAACTTCGACCTGGTAATTAAAAGCGACACTATTAAAAACCCACTTTTTTAAATTTCACTTTGAGTAACAAGTGCTTCGCCGCCGAGAATCTAAAGGTGGGGATTTACCAGTATTGAGGCCTCGCACGTAGCACAGGACGATGTACTTACCACCAAAGAGAGAAAACGAAAATTAAATTTCCTTCCCATTACTAAGAGGACAAAAACGAGGACCAAAAAAAGGGAAGGGTAACAGAGGCGACGAAGAGCGCTGGTGAAAACTTATTTGGTTAATTGGAATTTACATGCCTTTTCACAGATTGGCAACACCGCGGCCACTGTAGCAGTGCCACCAGAAGCAGCGCCGGCAACAACAACAACGACGACAGCAGCAGCAGCAGTAGCAGCAGCATCTTTAGCCTTTTTCTTAGCACTGATAGGAGCAATTTTTGAAATGCATATCTGTGTCCGTCCCCACGGTCTAATCTGCCTAAGTGCAGGTTGCGGAGACCTCTAATGCAAATTTACTAATTAAATAACCCCCTGGTTGTGTGTGTGTATCCAGAGGTTATTTACACCACACCTTACGCCCTGCCTCCTCCCCTCCCTCACACACACGCATACACACTTCAAATCTGGACAGATTATATGTCCATACACCCTCGAATGCAAGTGTAATTATATTAAACTACTTAATGTGGTTTACAAAGGGAGAGAGGGGCAAGGGGAAACAAAGGAGGAGGGGGAGGAGGAGGAGGAGGGGTGAATGATTGATGATTTTTAGGAGTGAGAAGGAGAGGGCAAGCGAAAGAGAGACAGTGAGGGAAGGGATGAGATAGTGAGGGTGAGGCTGGACATTAAAATTATATGAATCATCGTTTTTACCATTTTGACGGAGACAACAGGTTAGTTTGTCGACTGAGAGTCTAAAAGTAGTGATGCAGTATTTTCATCGGTGAGGTAGGATCAACAATGACGGTGATAGGAAGGAAGAGGTGCAGTGCTGACAGGGGCCTATTTGATGACACAGAAAGGGGCTTGTATTTTAGACTAAGACAAGTCAGTCTTGATCTGTTTTCTAGATCCTCGACATGAAGAGGAGGGGGAGGAGGACATCCAAGCTCACCTCGGTGGCAAAATTAAGCCTCTGATTGGCATTTTGCTGAACCAGAGGAATTCTTCGGTGAATCTACTATCCATTGTCGAGATTTACAACGCATTGCGGAAACATGGAGCAGCTTTGCACCTCTCTTGTGCTGGTTAGCTTTGAGAGAGAGAGAGAGAGAGCGACATTACTTACATCGCAAGGCAGATTAACGAATTCAGCCCGCGAAGTCCACCAGCAGTAAAATTTAAGCTTATAGCGAAATGACGTATGAGAGGATTATCCTCCTACCAAAATGTGAAATCACGCCCATAAGGCCTTGTTGCCCATCGCCACGGTAGTTGTCATTTGAAAACTTACCAAGCCTGACAGCATTGATGCCGTCTCCAAGGCACAATACCACGTCCTTGTAACGTCTGAACTGGCCGAGATTGATGTTGTCCGCCTTGACACTAATGTTACTGATCCTTTTCCACCCCTTTAAAAGGCGACTCACCAAATCACGAACATCAATGTTCAGCTGGCACCAAATTTGACCTTGAGACTTCCACCAATCACATGATCGCAAGATATTATGTACATCCGCGATCCGTGTGGAGGTCGGCAGTATCAAATCATGTCTCAACCTTACCATACTTTCCTTAATTAGCAGTTCTTTATGCCTTGGAACTCTAGCCGAAGTGTGTTTTTTTTGAGGGAGTACGGAGGGCTGCCATTGGTTCCCTCGGGTGCCATGTAAATCTGCTCATTAAGGGGGATCCGGAGAAGTTGACGTTCCTGAGTCTCACCAGACAGTAAAAATCTTTTTTTGTCATCTGTACTGTACCCATATTGGAAGGCGACTCTGTCACTGGCGTTCCTGTGGTAGAGCCCTTATTTACCGCCTCATCATATCGGCTGTCCTCTAAGCTCAAGTTAAAAGTCTTTTTTACCTAATATTTGTAAAGTTGAAGGGATTAAATGAATGACTTGTCGGTAAAGGCGGGACAGCCGAGGCTTATTTATTGCGATGTGATAGCCAATCGAGTTTAGCGGTGAAATCGAAGAACTCGAGGCTTCTACGATCCGTACTGCTTTCCAGCCATGGAAACGAGGATGTGAAGACAGATGCAATAGATCGTAAAACTTTGTGATTGTGTTGGTGTTCACATAAAATTTTTCCTTCAAATCTCACTTTCAAGTCCGCGTCCACATTAAATCAATGAAAAAGTCTTATTTTCCATCCTCTTCGCCCCATCGGGTCCATCTATTTTGGTAAGACGTGCTTTTACAAGGATGCGCCTTAGTAAATATGCAAATTTTGTGTTTAGGACGGAGGAATGATGTGGAGACCTACGGGCCCCTCTACATATCGCGAGAGTCCATCCATTGGCAAAGGGAGTTGAGGCGAGGCAGGGGAAGATGGAGACATCAAGCCAAGGGGTTGACACTGTGGACCAAAGCAGCAAGTCAACCCACAGGTGGAACTCCCAGCCACATGCAAGGGGTTGTCG